TTTTATGTTAGCAAGTCCAGTAATTACTAGTCCAAATTTTGCTTCTTGGTTGTGTTAAGAAGAGAGGGATCAGATTGTATACAGAAGAGAATATATAAAGAATATCCATTTTTGAATGGATAGCAAGTTGATTTGCAATGTCATTTAAACAGTGTTCTAACAGGCAATTATTTTTTTAAAAAACAAAGAAGACAGAGGGGGGTTGGGGGGGGGGTTATGTCTTTTTCTCGCTGACCATAGAAACATAACCCACCCTTTCTAAAAAAAGTCTATTCGGAATTCAGCCCTGGTGCACAGGCTACTCAATTTCAATTGCTGGGTTTATGTCATTACTGCAGTTGCAGTAACTCTGTAAAAGACAAGATGAAAGGTTGCTCCTTCCCCTCTGAGCTCTTTCCATTCTCCACCTTTACAGCAAAGGTTACCCTAAGCAGTGTCTATCTCTCTCTGTTGCAAGTGTAGAAATACGTATTATTCATAACTTGCCRATGTGTATGCTGGAGAAGAAAAGCTGGATTTATAGCTATATTTCCTCTCTGCCRGGGTTTTCAGAGTTGAGTGTTCCAGCGTTTCCATTATAAACCCCAGTTTTCTGAGGTTTATAACAGTCTTGAAGAGCATACGGTCTTGCACCATGATAGAAATCATGTAATGTTGCATTTACAATTCAGCTGTAACTGCACATTGAGGAGTGTAATCTTCTCAGTGTTCCCTCAATGCTTCAATAATGTTCATTGGAGTTACATACACTGARAGAAAAAACAATATTTTATGTTTGAAGTTGGTGCTTTGTATCCAGAGAGTTGAGTGTGTCACACGGGAACAGAGAGCATCTACCTGCACCAGACTTAAAAAAATTCCTTACTACACCCTTAAAATACTCACGTGCATCTGCAGGGGTCTCTGTGAATTGCAGCTCATTGTAACATCCCTAACACCCCTCTGTCCCTGGGCTGTCTGGAGTATTCTCAGCTGCTCTGTCATGCATCTGGATATTTGCTGGCGTTTCTTGTTAGCCTGAGCTGCCACAGACAGAGCAGGGGMTCTTGAGGAGAAAGTTCCCTGTACTTTGAGAAGGGTACATATTTCCTTTTCACACTAGCCCAGCCACAACGTTATGCTGGGCTTATCTACCACTTGGTAGAAGGCCTCAGAAAGTAGGAAGGAGGAAGGAAGCTGGACTCTGTAAACTTCAGGCTCAGATCCCAACTACAGTACACTTGGAGRGATGAAGTTAAAAGGAGTGTCAGCAGGGTTGAAATCTTGTTGARACTAAGTTTTTCTTGCTGTTTCAACTCATAACGTCAGGTTATTTAGTCTTCCACTTAACCTCTYTTCCCATGGCTAATAGGTCAGCTTATTGGGTTCATGACTTTTTGCAAGTATTGCTAACCTCAAACATTCCGAAATTACAAATTTACTCTCAGATTCATGAAACTCAAGGAAAAACATGCATTTTTTTWAACTGAGTAATTAAAATAGTTTAATTAGTATTTTAGCCCTGATCCTTTGAGTTTCACAGCTTTTGAGCATCTTTTTCTTTGCTTTGAGCTTTACAGTCTTAACCCCCAATAAAACCTGTATTTGTCACAGTTGCACAAATGAACAACCAGTGCTGTAGCAAAAAACTCAAGCAAACTAAGATTTCAGAAAGAACTTGAGATTTGAAAATGCTGTTTTTTTGATTGCATTATTTTATTTTTTTTCACTTTTTCTATTTTTCTCTCCCCTTATTGGTTATGCATCCTTCTATTACAACATATCTGCTGAGAATGAGATAGCTGAAGGGATTTCTGGTTTGGTGAATTAGTGTGCAAGTGGTCAGCAGAAAGGTCTGCAGCAAAAAAAGCCCGATCAGTGGGAAAGCACAAAAGACTGAACTTGAGTAAATCCACCCGTCTGTTGCATGTGYTCTTCTGCCATGTATAAGGGGCCTGAAATTTGCATGTTAGTTATCTCTGCTCCCTTTCATATGGGTAAGAAGGCCTTTGGGAATATTTGGCATGATCTACCAAGAATTATTCATCATGTGATGCATACATTTGAGCAGCAAATACCCAGTATAGGGGCCTGAGTGAAAATAAGGCTTTTCAAGGCACTTTATTTTGTCCCTGCATTTGCCCCATAATGTGAAGGTTCTGTATGTCTCCCTGCCCCAGCTTTGAGTGTGTGTTCCAGTGCCMCATGCATTTTGTATTTTTACTGCCATCTGAAAATATTCATCATGGTTGTTCACAGTGCCGTTATTGTCATTTTGAAATGCTTAATGTGGGCAACATTTTTAAAGGCAAGAGAGGCAACAGGGCAGCAGCTTCCCCTGCCAGTTCTACAGGAGTCAGAGCAGCATTACCAAACCCTGCACCTGGGGATCTCCAGGAGAGTGTCCCGTGTCCTGTGAAGAGATGTTTTTGCATCTTAAAAAGTGGTTCAGTGGTTGCCCTGAAGACTTACTGAAGAACTGGGACTGGTCCTCAGTGATTCCTTTTTGCTTCCAGTTTGAGTTTCTTTGCAATCAGATTGCATTTTTGCTTGTGGATGCAAACTAATAGCTCCTGGGCTTCTTGAGGTAGGAGAACCATTGTTGTGGCAATAGGATTAGTCTGATTTATTTCTCTGATACTTTTTCTCCTTTTTGCCAGTTTATTGCCTCTTCTGTGCAGAGACTAGGTGGTGGAAATGCCTGAGGTGTACCTGTTCTGGTACAGAAAAACAGTTTGGAGAATTCAAGCCTGGAATTTGTTATCTAGAGTAGCTTTTCAGCCAAAGAAAGAAGGTTAGGTATTTTTCAGTGTGTTTAAAACTGAGCTTCACATGAGAAATTATAACTTACCCAGTTCTTGCCATTGTATTTTTACAAAGGCAAACATTTATATATCTCTCTGCAGCTACAAGACTAGTCTAGGGTTCTTTGGCTTTTGCTGTGAATGTGGAGCTATTGATCCACGAACATAAATCCTTATTTATCTCCAGTCAAGTTTATAGGACAATGAAATTATAGGATTGCTTGAATCAATCAATGTTTCTAAAGCAAGCTATAGAAATATAAACAAGTTACCAGTTATTTAATAAAGTCAATTTGCTTAGAAATGCCTGGCGACAGGCAGCAGATGTTACATTAATTTCTGCTTTCCCTGGAATTTCACGGGTCTGCAAGATCTTAATGTCACTATTAGCAAAGGTAACTTTATTTTAGAAACTCATTCCGAACTCTCGCAGCAAGAGGAAGAAACTGTCATTCCTTTTGACCACAGAATCTGTGCTATTTCTAAGAGAAGTTCTTTGAAATAACTAGGATATCTCACAGCTTGTTGCTTTAGAGGGGACTTAGTACAGTGGCACTACATTTAGTTAGCATAATGAGTTTTTTAGCCCCTAAGATACTGACTGAGTTTGAAGTACCATAACTTTTAGTCAGCTAAGATTAAATTTGCTAGGGAAGTACAAGTTTGCGTAATAGTTTAGCTTTCCTAGAATTTTAAACTGTGTGCCTGTGTCCTGAGAAGCAGTTAGGTTAATACAACCAGGTTCTGACTTGGCAAAACAATTTAAATGTGAGAGTGTGTCTTTCTGCTTCTCAGTCAGAAGTATCATGAAAGTGTCCTCCTTAGTGTGGTTTTACAGTTACCGTGTTTGCCTTTTGAGATCCAGCTTATTGGAGTGACTTTTTTCAAGGTGGGTCAAGAATCTCCCATGAGCTCATGGTGTCCTTTTGGTGCTCCTGTCTGTTTTGAATGTAGAGCAGGATCTTTATTAGTAGGCTCTGGTGCCTTGGTGGTCTGTCTGTTGGGTAGTTTGTCATAGTTTATCATGCAGGAGTACAAAATCATCTGATTAATCTGCTTAATCAATTCTTGAACAGGGATAGTAATAATTAAGTCACAGATGGCCTTTGTAAATCCCTCTATTCCAATGCATTAATATTCCCAGTACTTTGGATATTAAGGTTGTTTTAAATTAAAAAAAAAAAAAAAAAAAAACCTCTGTGAAATGTGCATCTGGATTTTTTTTCATTGGTCTACCTTCAAGACATTGAGAATTCATTTTTGCTCTGGAAAGGTTTTTGTTTTAAGATAAATTATTATCACATATACATTTTGGTACWAGGGCTTTTTTAAAGCTTATACATAAACTAGTCTCTGATTAATCTCCTTTTTTAAGCTGTTCTGTAGTATTTTGTCTGCAGTATTTTGTGGCTAAGCTGTCTGTAGCAGAATTTTGTTATCCGAAGAGTGTGCTATAAATTTCTATAGACACAAACTGCTATAAAATTAAAACTTAACATCTTTCTGGACTTCCTTCATCTATCATAAAGTTGGTATGGCTCAGCCTTAATTAGATTATTATAGACCTAAAATATACGAGGTAGAATAGCACAAGAGGAATTGAATTTGGTCATTAGCAGGAGTGTGTGGTGTAGTCAGTTGCTCCTGAAATATGAGACTCCACTTTCCATTTGATATGCTTTGAGGACAGGTCAAAATCCTTAACGTGATTTAGGTTTACTGGGAAGATCTATAATCCTGCTTTTTAATAAACTCTGTATTTCMTGTCGGAACAATACCTGTGTGTGTCAAGCATTGCTGAGGCTCGCAGCCACAACTGTATTCATCTGGAAGCTGAAATGCATTGTTTTGGAAGAACATTTGCAGAAAACATTACTGGCTTCAGACAGCGCTCTAAGGCAYGAAGGCTTCCTGTAAAACCTGGATTGTCTGGGTGCCAGGTTTTAGTTCTTTTTCAGCTGAGGAACAATTCAGCTTCTCATGCTTTGAATGCTATTGTGTACTTCCCTGTTGAACAGCTACTGCTGCAAATGTGTGTGCTCTGGCTGTTCAGCATTGAACTGCTTCTGCCTTGGAGATCTGTCACTTGCTGGGGAGCTCCCAGGCAGTGGTGGGGACTGAAGGATGACATGGGTGTCTCCAGTGTAGGTTTTAGTCACCAGCTTTTYGTGATGAACAAGGTGGTGATCTGTGGATTTTAATTGCTGCGGAAGAGCGTGGATGGCACCGTGCCAAGGAGCTGCAAACCTTGGTAGATGCAATCTTGAGGGAAGCCTTGTGGATGCAAACACAGACAGCGCTGCTGACTCACGGCAGTCTGACAGGAAAAGGCTCTCCTCCACTTCTGCTTGTCTCGGGCTTCCTCCGGCATGCGGTTAGGGAGGACTTTGTATCTGTCTCCCTGCTTSTTTGATACTGTTCCTATACTGGCCAGCGTGACTCCACAAAAGGAACTGGGAGGTTGGTGAAAAATGTCTGTGCTATTAAGTGTTAATTGGGATGACATTTCTCACGAAAAAAAAAAAAATGCAAAAAAACTTGTAAAGAGAGTCTTAGGTCTGATAAAAAGCTTGTTTTCATTGCTGTCTGCCTCCTTTCCTCCTTTTTTTGTGCACCCTACAAAGCATCATATGGATTTATGTGAGTCTTCACAGAGCTGAGGTCGCTAACTCTGAGATGATAACTGTGCCTCTGTCTGTGATGAGAAGTGCTCCAGGTAGGTTTTAGAGCCAATGTTTGCCACCCTTCTTAAAGGCTGGAGGTGCCAAGTTAAAATCCTTCAGCAAGAAACAGGTGATGAGGCTTAAAAAGTAAAACAAAACAAACCCTGCCATCAACAACCGAAAAGGACAAAAGAAAAGAATAAAAGCTTTATTATGTGTTCTCTTCCAAAATGGATACTTATGTGAGACCCTATTTCCTTTTTAAGTGTGTGTTTAAGAACTGTTCATACCTCCTATGTCTCAGTGTGATTGGGAAAAGACTCCAGTGATTTTTAAAAAACGAGTGAGGTCTGTACTTGACCTGTGTGTGCTGACAGGAGTTGTGCAGTTGATTTTAATTGGAGAACATCTGCCCTCTTTGTGCAGAAAAATGTCTTTTATTGAAAAGCCAAGTAAATGAAAGTGAAATTGGAATATTATTTCTTACCTTCTACACTTGTGATTGGTTTGGTTTTTTTGAAAAGACTTTGATGCACTTCAATATTTTATTTTTTTTCTTTTTCTGAAAGTTCTCCTGGAGCAGTTGCTGGTTGGGATTAGCTTGTGCCCACTGATCAATTCCTTGTGTCACTGGTCTTGAATCTTGTTGCAGTTGTTCTTGGAGAGCTTGCCAGCAGCTGCAAACCAGCAGAGCTCTTATTGACCTAGAATAGCAATAGAGTTGTTAATACATTAAGCAAGGTTTTCTGTGAGCTAGGTTGCTATTCTGTGGAGCTGATGAGGTGGTTAACACCTTTTATTTATTCTGTGAGAATGTGAGGCTGGAAGGGAATTAATGCAGTTGTGAAGCGTGGAGAACCAAAATAGCAGTGATTCAGTTAGAGTAGAGCCAAATCTTCTTAAAATTAAACTCCATTGTGTTAGAGACTTTACTTTTTTGATACCTATGTTATTAACTTCTCTGATAAAAGCAGGAAAGGTAATACAGTGATATTGGAGAAGCCTTGCACATTAAATCTAAGCTATTGTCTYGGGGTTGTAAGAAAAGAAACCACTYTTCATCAGGTATGTTATGAGAATCAGATTTTACAGAATTTCTGCTTCTCAAGTTTACCATATAATTCACAGACTTGGTTTTTGCATAGCATTGATTTCCTTTACTTTCAAATAGGTTGTTTAGGATGGGTGGGAACTCTGCAGTACATATATGAGTATTTATAGTTTCATAAATAACCAACTATACTGGACATTTCAGGGAATTTTGTCATGGRCAGAGGTGCTTACTTGCAAGCTGCTGCTTCTAATGTTGCCTTGAAGATATTTTTGATAATGAGATTTGGTTGCTTTAGTGTATAACAGGTTGGTGTACTTCACTGGCAGAAGYGCTTCAAGGTGTGTTCTTTGGTTTACCTTTCTAATTGGACTGGGTCAGATGCTTAAAACAGGATTGAGGTTTGCAGGCAGGAAAATRTGGAAGAAAGCTGAAGAATTTATGTACAATAAACAAACCATTTCCAGAACTTGACTGTTGTGTGCAGGTTGTTCAAGTGGCTGAGGCAGCCTGACTGTGCCACAGTGCAGAGATAGTGGATTTGACAATATTAATGTTAAATCTGATACTAGAAATGCAAAGTATCCCTGGAGAGACTTGTTGGTGATACCTCTAAAGGAGACAGTGCACTAAGCCAGGAAAATTTGCTGTAACACTCATGATACAGCCAAACACTGCTGTCTGTGTGGACTCACCAGTGTGGCACATGCTGATTTATGGATCTTGTACTACACTTGAGGTTTTCTGCTCATTACATCACATTAGATGATTATTCCTCTAATTTCTCCTTTTAATTGTGATAATTTAAAGTTTACTTTGTTCTATTCTTACAAGGTATAACCAGCTTGGAAATTAAGTGCTATAAAGTTTATATTGCAAAAATGCTCTGTTTTTATTACTTTAGAGAATGTCACTGTTTGTATATCAGGACACCCCTGAAGTGCCTTTATATTTTCCTTCTATGACCTTAACGTGGTCAGGCTGTCTTCCCCTCTTTTCCCCACACATTCCCYGGCTTCTCACACTGGAGGTCTAAAAACCTACTCAGCAACACKGATGTCTCAGGCGGTGGGTATGTAAATATTTACTGCCATGACAGTCAACAACAGTGGGAGGGGGGAAAKTGCTACATTCTACCATCCAGGGAASCTTCGAGTTCTGTCTCAGAGTGTGCAGTCGATGAGAAGARGAAAGTTTTGCACTTTGTGCTTGACATGTTTTTGCTCTCTCGGTTCCTGTTTTGTTGCAGATGTCATTCATTTAGCYGTGGAAGGCTTTATCAGCCCTTGCAGTGGCTTTCCCCTGCACACAGCACTCAAGGCTGGAGCTGTAGTGGAGGAAAATGGAGCCTGTAGATCTCCTGGCACTTGTCTCCCTAGAAATGAACAGTACCACAGTCACCGTGGCTTTGCTGGCTGTCTTCCTGGTCCTGCTGTATTGGTAAGTGATAACGCTGATATGGGCTGCACATCAGACACAAACCCTGCTGAAGCTCAGCATCTGTAGACTTTTATCCAGGAGGGGAAACTGGAATATAATTGCTTAGGAGGGAGATAGAGTTATAGATAGAGGTAGATAGAGATAGACAGAGTTATAGATAGAGATAGAAAGTTCGTTTGAATGCAGAGGGTGAAATAAATACTCACAAAACTCATGATGYTTTAAGAGAATTCTCTCCTTGCTCTATTGTCTTGTAAGTGCTTTACCAACTGCTAACAAAAATTGTCTTCCAAAATAATAACTTTTTTGTTGGTTTCTTATTAATTTCTCTGGGCAGCAGGAACATTGGTCCTGGTCACAAAGAAACCAAGTACTTGTTGGAGCTCTTCTCTSTACTATGCTGCACACTTGTTCTTTGGCTTCAGTGTACAGACACTTTAACTGCTGCTTGAATTTCCTCTCTTGTTCCTTCCACACTGACTAGTGGATACAAATCAGAATAACAGCAGCCCTAATGGTTAGCACAGTAGGAATTGCAGTGAGCTGTGCTGAAATGAATAAACCCCACCCTGCCATGACAATTTTATTTCAGAAATTAAATTAGCTGACTTTTTACTTGCATATCTCTTCAAATCCTGCCTTCCAGTAAAATAATGTTTGTTTCTCAGTTGTATGAGTGTTCAAGAGAAGTTTTCAGGGATTGTTGCAGGAAAAAAAGATCCAACAAAAATCCAAACTAATCTAGAATAGTGATGGCACCATGAGTTTAGCACAATTGTAGTAGCAATGCAAATGACAGATCACTTTRTGTATGTTTTGTCATTCTTTAACCATGTTGAGCTTTGTTCAACTTCCTTCAGTGTCCAGGGTGGGTCTAGAGAGACKAAAAAGAGTCAAACCCATGTTTGAYATGTGTTGTCATATCAAATAGATGGGTGCCTTCTTAACAAGATCTGCCCAAATAATCACAAGCTACCAAATCCTACTTCCTCTGAATTTTATTGAGAAAAAGAGTGATAGTTCTAAATCATTAAATAAGACCATACTGTTGAGATGCAGACCTTTGCATCTCCGGGAGCTTAAGGAAGAGAGAGGAAGGACAAAGGCGCATCCAGAGTTCAGAAAAGCAGCAGATCAGCTGGTGAGATCTGGCCACCTGTGAGTCACTTGAAATAGCCTGATACTTCCACATAGTGCATGTCCAGATGTGCCAAGATCCCTGAAGATCTGAAACTGCTCCTTGTAAATGTCAGGTGCTGTCTGGTRTCTGCTTGCCCAGAGCCTCATTTTCTGGTTCAGTTTAGGGAAGGCTGTTCCTCCCTTTGAAGTTAAGACATGGTGGTTTAGTGCACCTTTGGTCTTGCCATTAACAAACCTATCTGTAATTGCAGAGCTAAACCAGACTCGTGGCTGTGGTCAGTTACTGCTGAATTGAGTGSCTACCATAAAAGTTTCAAAAAGTTCAGTTTAGCAGTGAGATGGGAAATTGTCTAACAATAGAGAAACCCCTTTCAGTGTGTCTCCTTTCCTGGTTGAAGGCAAGTTCTGTGAAAGCATCAAGAAAGGGTAGCTGAAGTTTTATGTAGGGAAAGTGTTTTATACTCTTACCCACCAATGGTTATAATGTTGTTGATCTACAGATTCAAGTTGATTTTTAAGTAGCTTGTTAAATACAGATGTGTGTATAGATCAGTCTTCCAATGGGTAGGTGGCTATTCTTAAATCTGGAACGAAATAAAATGGGCAACACCTGTGGGCTCTTGGTAGGTTCACCTGGTGGCTGAGCTGTTCAGATCTATTTATTGCAGTAAAATGCAGTGACTGAGCCTGTAAGATTAAAGTCGTGAAGAACATCTGCAAGTGTGGTAGTTGTTCAAACTTGTCAACTTTTTAATTTGAGTCTATTTTATTAAAGCTTTTTATGCTGCATGCCTGTTTGAACAAATCAGTAAACTCAATGCATGCTCGCATCTTTCTTTATTCATGATTGAAGCCTTGGGTTTAAGGAGTTATTTAAAGAGTGTGTTAAATGGTTGCTAATAGAAATGCAGGTCTCTAATTCTAGGGAATGTTTTTGTTACAATCATGTTGCATATCTGATTAGCTGGCTCTTCTACGAGTTAGAAAACATGAGAGTTGTCTATAGCAGGAGTAATAAATAAGGTAATAACTCTTAAAGTTCCTTTGATGTTTTCTTAATAAACCTTATCCTAATTTTTTAACAAATACTGCATTATTCTTTTTTAAACTTTTTCTGCCAGGATTGTGTCTTTTCAGAAAGGCAGTCATGGGGAAGGGGAGGAACGAATACTTGCTGGTGTTATGATAGTAGCTTGTGATTGATCAGGGTCATGCTGTGTCAGGTGTTGTGTGAGTACAAAGAACAGGCAGTTTGTCCACCTTGTTTGCTGTAAAAAGGCTTAGTAAGGCTCAACAGAAGGCAGCTGCAGGTAGAGGAGAGAGTCAAAAGATCTAATGCACACTGGAATGGGACTGTGGTGATGGCAACTTTCACATTATTGAGCACTTTCCTTAGCCTGATTTTTGTGGAGGGGGGTACTCAGTGGTGTAAAYGACAGCCTTGAGCTGCTGTCCATTGGGTTAGCCTTGGTCACTGTCACTTTGTGTATTGTAAGGACAGCTGTGAATTGTCACAGTTCAGCTGGCAGGTGGTATCTTGCTAAGCTGCGATAAGACCAATCTCTTCACATTTCTGGGTATGGTGGGGTCATYGAAAGAGGGAGAGAAGAAAGGGTTGATTGGGAAAGGGAGGAGAGGCTGTAGCTACATAAAAATAAATTTACAGAGAAGGTATAAGTCTTAGGAAGAAACTTGGATGAGTTGATAATTTTTTAGGCTTTTATGGTACAATGAAGATCATCAATAACTCTTTATAACAAATCCTGTAATAGCACATCTCTGCTTTCTCATGCGTTGTCATCAGTGTTGTATGAAGGTGATGTTTGTAGTGTAGTGTGTCAATTTTAAATCAGTGGAAGCAACTATTRTTTCTCAGTGTTTATCTTCTACATGATCTTAAGTCACCTCTAAGCAGAGGCTTTTTAAGGTAGTTGATTTAATGTTGGGAGCAGAAAGAACTAAGAAGCTTTTGGATACATAGTCTCTTCTGATGTGAATGGGAAGTTGGTGTTTTTGGTAATCTGTTAAATTAAGAAGCTGCTCAAGCCTCTTTGCTATCCCCCATTCCTGAAGGATTTAGTCATTTATTTCCTTCTCCATTACCACTTGTTCTCTGTAGGTAAAAGCTTTTTCTTGCAGACTTCTTACCACGGACTCTTCAATGAATTCTTCTGTTGATCAGACACAATGTCTTTTGATAGGTATATCATGATTATTGTGATAGAAAAATTAGTGCTTTATTGACCAAAAAGGGCACAGTATGGCTAACTACCAAAATTCTGTAATATCAGTAGCACAACAGTTAGCACTCTTAAAAAATGTCTTGTCTATGTCCCCCCCRCTGTGATTTCTTCTACCCAAACTGATTATCAGAGCAGTTTCTTTTAAGAGCACTTTATTTCTCAATTGYGAGCACTGCTCTATTTGCCTAATCTGTGTGAATCTCAGGGGGTTTTTTAGGCATGAAATAAAACCAAACTCTTAAGGGAAGAATGAGGTTAGCATTTACAAATCCCGGTGATATTCGCTGTTGAAAAATACGGTAGTATATCTATGCAACATATTGTTCATTTTCATTTCAAACATATGCTGGGTTGGATATCCTATACTTGGCTGTAGCTGCAAACATTGCTTTGTGTCTTTCTTTTTGCTGTCTGGATAGATGTTTGATAAAATGAAAGCAGGAGTTTATCTTGCTTTAAAGTTTAATGTACCATAAGCTGAGCATTATGAAGAAACTGTCACAGCATTCTGATACCTGTGTTCAAACTGGATTATCAACCCCTTGTCTAAACAAACCTGGGGTTTTTTAGAAACATGGAGGTTGGATGGGAGTGTTTGTTTATGTTTGTAAGATCCATGTCTAATTGCATGCTTTCAAACATAGCAAAACACAAGCTAGTGGTGTTCCTGTCTTTTTCAAAAAGCTAAGTAATTCAGAAAGATGTCAGTTTTACATTGAAGTAATATTAATGATCACTTGTGCTACGGATGATTGTGGAGAGACTAAGAGTTTGGGATCTCCCTAGACTGAGGTACTATCAACCCATGCTGACCCAAAGAATTTGCAGTCTCTGATAAAAATGAATGAATACTAAACTTAATATTTTTCTACCTCTGGTCTAGACATTTGCATACAGTTGGATGGGGGACATAGACATGGGGCAGATGTGTTAGAGTTCAGCAGCTGGTGTCATACCTTTACTAAACCATATCAGATGTTGATCTCAGGACAAGGTAGTATTTCCATACAGGTGATTTCATTGCCATTGCTTGTTTGGCATTAATTTGCTTCTGTGCTTTTGGAAAGGGCTCTAAAGAGAAAGTTTAGAGGTAGTCTTTCTACAACAAAAACTTCATTCTGGTTTTGCAGAGCCTTACTCTTTGGGGTTTGGTTAGGTAAAACTGAGYTCAAATAGATCTCAGGTTTTTTTAGTTGAGGGCTTTTTTGTGTGTGGGTTGTTTTTTTTCCCACCAAACTAGATGYCACCTAATACTAGATCTTGGACCAATTTTGCCCCACAAAATATTACTATTTACAAAAGGTGTTTGATAGTTAGAGCTCTAGGCTTATGGTCTGAATCCAGGCATATGGTGAGTAGATTATTTTCCCTAACATATGCAGATAATGCTTCTGGACCAATCCAGGGACAGGCAGCACAAAACTTGGATCTTTTTTGGGGGTAGGCCCTAACTTTTCACCTCCCACTACTGCCATCAAAAGCATAGGACTTCAAGGAGCACCATGGCTGGAAACTGGCCTGGGTGTGGAGCATCAATAAATACTCACAAAGACGTACAGCTCTGTTCTCAAATCAGGCTCTTTGAGGTGAGAGGTTCAGAGAGGCTTCCTAATCCTC